AACATAGCAATTTATCTTGATGGGATGGATATGTAAGTTTGGTGATAATAATAAATGAGTTGAGATAATTAATTAACGGCGAAAGAAATAAAATAATTTTCAAAGCTTTTTGTATATGCGTGTAAAAATATTATTAATTGATTGATAAAATATAAAACATTTAATGCATTTTCATATAAAAAATAACTACAATATACAATATACAAAATATGATATTTATTTAATAATGGTTGATTAGACGCATAGTATAAAAAAGACATATAACGAAAAGACACAAAAAAAGTCATATTAATTAAATCTTACTATTTAAAAATCATAGAATAATTTGAGGGAAAATTTATAATTCATATAACCTTCTTTTTCGTTTAGTAACACAGAGATAATAATTTTTTTAAAAAATGAAAAAAGGAAGTAATAATAATAGACAACATTATTATATGGTGTGATGATGAAATGGTTTTGACGCTATATATTTTAAAACCCGATTGTAAATCCGGAAATACGATGTTTTGCCTCTCCGCCACCTTTTTTGAGATTATTATTTAGTCAACGATTTTTTGAGATTATTATTTAGTTTCACGACTTGAAAAAAATAACGATTCGATAAATTAATAAAATATGTTGGTGATGATGATGATGGTGTTTTAAAAAAATTTATTTTTTTTTATTAAAATAAAAATTTATTATTTTTATTATTATTTAAAAAAAAACCCATCTCATTTTGTCGGTTGTTCGTTATCTTTTTCTATTTCTCTTCGCTTCTTTGGGGATTCTAATGTTTTCATTATCCCTCGATCCTATGCTTTTACGCGGTGTAGACGTAGTTATCTGTTTAAAAAAAAAAAAAACGGTTAATATTATAATTCCGCGTAAATGTAATGTTGTACAATAAATATCGAGATTACAAATATAAATAAAAAATAAACGGTTATAGCAAAATTGATCAGCAAAAAACATTTTTGGAAATTACGATTTTTTATTATTATTAAAATGAAAAAAGAAGAATAATTAATTCATTAATTCTTTTTTTTCAGATAAATCAGAAATGGATCAAAAGATTATTTTGATATCTGATAATATTGCAGAAAGTATATTTTGATGAAAAGGAGATTGATATAGGAATAGAAAGAGCATAATGTGTGTGTTTATGTGTGTTTGTGGTTGGGTGTGAAAATCAACAGGCCAAAAATGGATAAATTATTTTAAGATAGTTATGATATAAAATATAATCACACTTTCTAAATCAGGATTATTGGGTTTTCAATATATATATATATATATATGTGTTAAAGAAGAAGATTGAATGGTTAAAAGGTGTGTGTGGAATAAATTAACTACCTACCTTCATGATCATTTGATCTACAGTGAATTAGTTTATCAATAAATATTAGGGTTCGCTTATATAGATCAGAGTGTAAAGAATAGTTGCAGAGTAGAAGAGAATAAGAAAAAGATGAATATGCAAGGAAGGATGATAGGGTGTGTGGATTATGGTGAGAGATGGATAGGAGTGAGTGATTTTAGAAAAAGGAAGGAAAAAGAAAAAAAGCAAGTGAAAATAAAAATGAATGATAATTTTCTTACTTTTTCTTTTTTCCTTCTTTTTAAATTATTATTATTATTATTATATTTATAAATTATTTTACATCAAAATAAAAAAAAGAAATTTGAATTCATCTCACCTCAATTTATGTAATTATTTGTTTTTGTTTTTTTTTTAGGTTCAAAAATAATAAATTAATTCTTTTATTTACCAGAAATAATATTGAATTAATAAAAAATATGTA